TTTGCTGATGTAAGGAAGCATCCTGGACTGGGTTGGCTGGTGGTGTTTGAGGATGGACAATAATGGCCCTGATGATGAAAATACTTGTTGTTTACTCTGGGCCAGCCACTGTGCTCAGCATTTTCCCCTCATTACTTCATTTAGTTTTCACAAGTAGGTACAATTATTATCCCCATTTTAGAGGTGAGGGAACTGAGGTGCCAGAGTGGGTGGAGTAGTTTGCTTGAGGTCACTGAGTGAGGGAGCAGCAGGGGTGGGAACCTGTGTCTTCTAAAGGAGCAGAGTCCAGACTCTTCCCTGCCAGGTGCACTCCCAACAGGTCCCTGGGAAGGGGACTTGGCCTTGCTCTTCTCCTTCCTGGCTAACTTGTCCTCTTGCTTCGCCTCCTGGTCCCTGGGCTCTCAGGCCCCCTGTGTGCACCTGTCCTGTAACTGCTGTCCCACCTGTGCCCCCGGGGCAGACATGGGGTGCTCATGGAGGGTTTGCCAAGTGAATAAATGAGCCTTTTTTCCAAGGAACTCTGTGTCTACCAGAATGTTGTTTCTTCTGCTGCTGCAGGGCAGGGACCCTGGGCAGCCCTTTACCTCTAGGTCTCCCACTCCACTGCTTCAGACTGAGTGAGTGTTTGGTGACTAAATGGAGGCATGAATCTATAAACGAATCATTTCTGTGCCTATGCCTTGGAGAATTTGGGGGTTTGTTCAAATCTGGGCTGGCCAGGAAGGTGGTCTCGGCACCTGAGCTGGTCTCCCCAGTCCTTTCTGCTCTCTGGCACGTGCACAGGAGTGGGAATGAGTCACTGTGGGCACCTTCTGTGGCAGGACCTGTGCTGGGGGCTTTATTTATATGAACATGAGCAGGAATGAGCGTGCAAGGGGCCCTGGGGCTCACACACAGGTGGCCGGGCAGCCTGTACACAGGGACAGGCTGGGTTTCTCCCTGGCAGGACATATGAGCGCGAGACCCCTGGGAGTGGCCTTCTATCTGGCAGACCAGGGCCTGGGCCTCCCTCAGCGAGACAGGCTCTGTAGGGGGAGCAGCCCATAAAGGGGCCAGACATCAAGGGCTTCTGGGACCTTGTGCGCGCTGCACGTTTGGCCTGAGAGCTCCTAGGCTCAGTTCACACACACTTGGGTGGGGAGGGATTGGTGTTGACCTGTTTGGAGTGAGGGGCCTGAGGAGACCCTCATCCCGCTGATGCCCCAGAAGAGCTGCTTGCCCCGTCCCAGCCTGGAGGGGGCAAGGTCAGCCCCCGATCCCTGCCTCCAGTGTCCCTCTTCCATGGCAGTTACCACAGCTTTTTAAATGAAAAATTCACATGGGTCAAAATCTCAGCTTCCCCAACTAGTTTTGTGAATTTAGCAGTAATCTAACTTAAAGCCCATTTCTCAGTTGTACTGTGGAGATAATACCTCTATCACCAGGTTGCTGTGAGGGTGAAATAAAAGATTCAACAAAATACCAGGCTGCCCCTCTTCAACCCAGGGCCCTGCGGTACAGCTGTGAAATCACTGCTGGGGAGAAGTTGTAGGCGGGAGGCGGTTTCCCCCGCAATGGGCATTAACAAACAGGCTGGCCCTGGGAGAGGGAGGTAGAGGCAGATGACTGCTCCTCCCCAGCCCCAGGCTCAGGCAGGCCCTCTCTCGTCCCTAAGGCAGCTCCGTTCTGGAATTGCCCAGCCACGGGAAGGGCCCAGAATCCAAGCACCACGTTTGTGGACAGAACCTGACTTAGGTGGGCTCTTCTCATCCTTGTTCAATTCTAAGAGCCTAGTGGTTGGGGGTGGGCAAATAATAGACCTAGAGCAGGCTGGAGGCCGATCTCTCCCTCAGCCTCAGCCTCAGCCTCAGCTTAATGATTTTATAGTATTGATGCAGATCATTTTTCAAAATATTTTAGTGGAACTAATTACTTAATAGGTCATTCCTAAAAAGCCACGAAGTATCCTGTTCTCAAGGCTTTGCTTCCAGACCTGGCTCCTCCACCTATGGGGAGAGGGAGCCGGGGCAGTTCCCAGCCTTGTGGAACCTGTTTCCAATGTGGAAAAGGCCCCTCAAAGTGGGCATTCCCAGGTGTCCTGTGTTGATGGCATAGGTGGGAAAAGGGGCCTGGACACTTATGCCCATCCAGGGGTCAGGTCAGGATGACCAATCATTTCTTGAAGCCAACAGGGGCCAGGTCACTCCCACTCTCTCCTTCCCAAAAGGGGTCCCAGAAATAAAACAAGCCGGGAGCAAGCAGAAGGCTATTATATATCATGCTTTTAATACAAACTTAAAAAAATCTGGAACAATATAAACTGTACAGATTTGATCAATCTTTTTGTTTTGTTTTTAAACTAAACCTCTAAACACACCAATGTCCCATTCCAAAATATTGCACAACATTCTGAATACAAAATGCTTGATTGTATTCCTCCTTCACTAAAGAAAACAAGTTCATTACCCTGCTCCCCCAAGCTCCTCTCCACATTGCCTCAATGCCCCCCTTCCCATCCCTAGGGGTCAAACTAGAGAATCTGTAGCTCACTGCATTGAGAAAAACACATCATTCTGGACTAAAAGCTTACATTCTTTACAAGACAATCCACCTTTTGATTTGTTCCTGGGAAAGAGGGATAGATAGAGAGAGGATGGGGAAAGGGGAGAAATCAGTTTTATTCTCCTCTTTTTTTATTTCAAAGTTTGTTTTTCCTGAAAAAATATCTGTTTTTCTCCTCTTTTTAAGAAAAAATCTTGAAAAGAAAAAAATTACGTTTTTTACGTTAGAAATATACATATATTATATATACCTCTTACATTTTACAAATGTAGCAAATTATTCAATACAAACGGACACCAAAAAATGTAAAAAATAAAAAAAAAGTTTTCCTACGAAACCAGGTAAATTAGTGCAGATTTTTGTTTTTGTTTTCTTAAAAAAAAATAAAATTGAAGCAAAAATGCCTAGATTTGAGACGAGACAGACTGAACCGAGCCCAAGAGCCCAGCACTGGAGTCACGCTCCGAAACACACATTTTTCTTCATATTTCAAAAGACACTAAGGGGTTGGTCTCCCCCTCTCCCTATGTGGTGAGAAACAAGCAGACCAGGGTGTGGCGGTTACCTGTGTGCGTGAGTGTGGGAGGAGGGCCTTGGGAGAGGGCATAAGGCAGCATCCAACCTTTCCCAGAGAGCAGCGATCTGCCTGGGCCTGTCACCTGTGTGGGAGCTGAGAGCTGGGGAGAGGGTGGCCCAGACTGGGCCGGCCCCTGAGAAGTGTAGGGGGACAGATGGCGCTGGGCTGAGGAACCAGGGCAGTGCCCCGCTGGGGGAGGTAGAGCTGGTGCCCACTGCAGGGAGGAGGCTGGCAGTGTCTGTCTGGGCTGGACCCACTGCCACAGCAGTTGCCCATGTGCGGGTCGCTGGGGAGGGTGGGGTGGGGTGCCAAGGGCTTTGGTACTTTCTGATGACAGGGGCCTTGATGCCACGTGCCCCACTTGCCAAAGCATCATGACACAGAAGCTGGCCCACTAGGGTCGGGTCGGAGAAACAACTTCTCTTCCGGCAGAGGGTGGAGTGAGTGCTCCTCTGTAATCCAAACACACCACCTGTGATGGCCAAGTGCCTGTCCAGCCCAGCCTGCCCAGGAGACCACTCCTCACAGCATCAGGACCCAGTGGGGTTGGGTTGGGCAGTGAGAGGGGTTGGCAAGAGGTACCGAGAAGTTCTCAAGCAGGCAGGGGCAGAAATGTACTAAAACAATGTCTACAACCAAAAGACCAAAAAGTCTCAATTCAAGGCTCAGGACTGCCCACTTCAGGCACTGACCCCCAAACTCCCACCCCCCAGGGTGCTAAGGTGAGCAGCTCCCACCCTGGGCTAAGGTCATACAACAGGAGGGTCCGAGTTCAGGAACTTCTCTTAGGCATCAGAGCCTTGGTATTCCCTCAGCCCCTCACAGCTAACCCCCGCTTTTTTTGGTCAGAAACAAACAAAAGTGCAGATCCCTCCGCAGTCTGAAAACCAGTTCCTTCTGCAGTGCTTTCCCCTGGGAGTGTCTCAGGCTCAGCCACAGTCTCATCCCACCACCACGTGAACCACCCTATAAAAAGACTGACAACCCGCCCCCGGCCCGGTCCCCAATCTCATACATAATTAAGCACTTGCTGCAACCCCAAATCACATCCAGAGGGAAAGTTTCACATGGCTTGGAATCCTTTAAAACAGGACAGCAAACCACGCACACGCACGCATGCACACACACAGACCCACACCCACACTTGCCCTACCTCCCTACCTACAATCTCAGGCGCAGGGAAGAAGCTGCATGAGAGATGCCACATATGTCAACAGCTGGGTCTCCAGGGCCACGATGACAGGCTGGGCCAGGTGGGGATGGCGGCGTGGGGCCACAGGACCGAGATGAAAGGAATTCCACCAGACAGAATGCTAACCTCCCTGGAGTCACAGACATCAGCTCTAGGGGGAGGGTGTCAAGTGGCCAGCCAGCAGCTCCCTGTGGCCCAGGCCTGAGAGGGAGTGGGGGCTGGGGTCAGAACTATTTGGGTGGCAGGGCCCAAGAAGGCCTGCTGAGGTTGGATGGCTTTGAGTGAGAGGATAGCTGGGTGACGGAGGCAGTGACACAGGGCAGCCTCTCCCTGTTCTGGGGAGGGCCAGGCCCCAGCTGCAGCTCTTCCTTCCCTGTGAGCTTGGACACACCAATCCTAAACCAGGCGTGTGAAGGAGGGAGGAAGGGAGGGAGCAGGGAGCAGCAATTCACATCTGGACCATTCTTAGCACAGGAAGCCACTAATTGAAGATGTTATATAGAAAACTACACGTAAAAAAAAGAAAAAAAAAAAGAAATATAAAACCCAAACCAACCAAATAAATCAGAGGCAGGCAGGAAAACAGCGGGGGGTTGAGTTAAACACGATCTGGTGCTTCGGGAGTCCCCTCCCCCTCCAGGCCTGGGCTGGATCTCTTTTCTAGATGTGAGAGTGAGAAGACTGGAAATCTTTTTGTATATTTTTCTTTTCCTTTTTTTTTTTTGGCCTTTCCTTTCCTTTCTCTTTTCTGTGGTCTTGGGTGCTCCTGGCCCCGCGGGCAGGTGGGTGGTCAGTTGGCCAGCACGACGGGCTGGAACGGCTGGCTGGGATATTGCATGGTGTTCAGGTTGTAGCTGAGGCCTTCCACGAAGGGCGTCTTCTCCAGGAAGAGGCTATTGGTGCCACCTCCAAACACCTGGGCCACATCAAAGCTGCTGCTATTGCAGGTGCCGGCCCCACTGCCCTGGCCATCGGCCCCATCAAAGAAGAGGCTGGGAGAGCCACTGCCGTTGTACACAAATTCCTTGGCATTGGGCGAGAGCTGGGATTGAGGGGCCGGGTTGGCTGCGATGAAGTTCAGTGAATGCATAGACAAAGAGAGGCTCTTGTGCTTCAGCAGGTTGTTGGTGGGAGAGCGGGCCATGCGAGGCTGCTGCTGTGGGGGCTGTTGGCCACTTGCCCCACTGCCGGCTACAGCCCCACCACTTGCTGCCCCACCACCCTTCTTCATCTTGGTGGAGCCAAACTTAGTGGCAGCGAAGGAGGCGGTGGTAAAGGTGATGGGTTGGGCGGAGCGGGGGATGAAAGTGGGGCTGGGTGACTGGCCAAAGGACGGCGATGGGGAGTTGGACAGAGAGCTGTCCTGGCTGCCGATGGGCACAAATACCTGGGCATCAGGGTTGAAGCTGCTCTTGATCTCCTTGTCCAGCTCTGGGGCAACACAGCCCTCGCTGTCATCCAGGTACAGCACTTTGACAGCCCCCTTCTCACCAATCTGGTAGGACACCTCAAAAGGGTCAATCCAGACGCTCAGCTCCTCAGGCACGTTGGCCCGCACATCCTCTACTGCCAGGCCACTCCGCTTGGCGGCCAGCTCCACCACGGGGTCCACTATCTCCCCAATGTGGACACAGCGGAAGCCAGAGCCCTTCAGTGGCTTGTCAGGGTACCAATGGCCTTCATATTTCTTTTTCAAGAGCCGCTCTAGCTCCTCCCCAAACAGGTCTGCCCGACGCCGGGGCAGCTTGTTGTACAAGTAGGAGATGATGAAGTTCAGGGCCACCTTGATCTCCAGCTGCATGGTCCTGTCCTAGGCAGAGAATCAGTGCAGCACACGTGCACAAGCCAAGAGCACTGGCAGGAGACGGAAGGTGGGCAGCCTTGGGCTCTAGACAGCTCTGGGAAATGAGAAAGGGCATCATGAGTTTTTCGTTACATGCTGTCAAGTCGGCTCCAACTCCTGGTGACACTATGAATGAGTGATGTCCACAATGTCCTGACCTCAACAGCCCTTCTCAGCTTCTGTAGACTCATGCTTATGGCATGAGGAGATATGCAGAAAGCCAGGGAGATCAATGGCAAAGGACAGACAGAAAAGCACCAAATTTGGATCACACAGACCCAGGGTCTGCTACACCAGTGACTAGCTTAATTGCATGACTATGGGCAAGTCACTTTTATCTGAGCCTTGGTTTCATCAATTAACATGAGGCTATCATGAAACATAAGTTAGTGCCAGGATATAAACTGCCTGACGCTGTACCTGGAATTTAGTAGGCACTTGATAAAGTTAGCTATTATTTTTTAACTAATTCTAAAGAAATAGGGGTGCTGAGATTTCTACTATTTTGAGAATTCAGGTTACTGTACGACTGACACCAAAAAAAAAATCGAGCCCCTAATTCAGCTGGAGCTAAGGCTCTTACTAACTTGTCTCTGCAATAACTTGGTGAAGTCATGCTCCCAAACTGTCACAGGCCGAGATATAAGTTTAAAATCTTTAGTTTTCTTTCTTAAATGGAAAGGGATACAGGTCACCAAACAGAAAGTAGCATTGCCAACTTTTTACTGGGGGCTTGGACTCTGGTCACATCCAATTTATCTTCCTGGCTCTCTGGCTCACTCTGGGTTTGCAGAACCGATTTAAAAACTCCACAGTGTAAGCAAGGCATGCAATTCCATCCAGAAAGCCTCCAAGAATGGAGAAGACAAGAGCATGATTCCCAGGAAAAAGTCAAGACCTGTAGTAACCAGAGGCTTGGGCCAACAAGGGAAGTGCTGACCGGGGGCTGCCCCAGGGAAGCAGAGGGAAGCAGGGCCCTGTAAGCCAACAAAGTGTTAAGAGCCGCACTGGCGGGGCCTGAGAGAATCTCTGTACTTCCTGGCTGGAGTGTAGATGATGAGGGGGGTAGAGAGAAGAAATTTTCCATCACCCTGCAGCCTCCAGCTGGGGACCCATCATCACTCAGTCTCCCAGGGACTGTCTGACCACCTGTCCTTGGCACCAGATCAGATTTATCAAGTGTTTGGAGATCCCTGCAGAGAAGACAGCCCAAGATAAATACTCAGATTGTTATTTTGGGATTCTCTCACAGCCAGATCCCACAGAGGTCAACAAGGTTTATTCCCGAGGTCTGGGCCAGCCTTGTGTCTCAGGAAGATGATCTGTGAGGTCCTGAGAGCCAGTGATCCTAATCTCCTCACTTTCTCCAAAAGGGCAGCTCCCAGGCTCCTGCTATGGGAGAACTAACTGAAAAGGGCCACCTTTGAGGGCAGGCAGGGTCCGAACATGTTCCTAGCCAGACTTCTGAGTTCAGCACAGAGACGAGACTGATCTGTGATCTATCAAGGGCATCTTCTGTCCTGTAAAAGACCTAGGGCTGGATTTTGGTTAAAATCCCTCTGGGTCCAGCATAAACTATCCAGGTACCAATTCTAGGCTTGAGAATCTTCAGTTTTCAGGACTCCACTCACTTCCCTGTAATTCTCAAGCTTGAGGCTGTGGCTCCTAGGCACATTTTCAGGAGTGAATCCTCAGGCAAAGATCTCTGGGGTGAGTATCAGAGAAGATGCACTGGGTCAATCTAAAGCTAGCCACCAGGACCATGGGCCCCCTCAAGAACAGGGCTGTAAGGGCCACAGTGGTCCACTAGAGGTGTCTAACACGGAAGAGACGAATGGGCCTGGAGTTAAAGATAGTTTTAAAAAAAAAAAAGGACTCGAACACGACATATGACACTTTTCCCAAGGTACCACATGGCCTCTTGGTACGCCACCCAGACCAAAGGGCTCCTACACCTTTCTAGGCTTCCTCAAACTTTGCTGCATAACTGCCTTCCAAGTTAACCTCCTGAACAGTTCAGTCTCAAAATGGGAGCATTTTAAATGCAGGCCAAAGTCACTGGGAAATAAGCCTCCTACTCCAAAATACAACAGAACCACTGTCATCAGTCCTGCCTAGCTAACCATTTTCTGCAGCATAAGCAACTAAAGCTGCACACCAATCTGTACCTCAGTGATGCTGCCACACAAATAAGGAAGTATATAATGCCACCTTTGCCTCTTTAATTGGAGAACAGGCCAGGCCAGATGGCTGTGGGGTGGAACCTTACAAAAATGCCAGACAGCCAGAATGAGATTTTCTGCTCTATCAACTCAGGCTCTAATTTTGACTTCAAGAAGCTTATGGAACAGAGGATTAAGGCACTGGTGCTATCTTGTCTTTAACTAAAGATAGGAGTGACCACTCAGATGAGTTTACTCATTTTTTTTAAGGCTATGGACAAATTCTAAAGCTTATATATAAAATATTCATAGAATGTGATAAGATTAGAAGCTTAGAAATAACCACCCTTCAGTAAAAGGAACAAGTAGATTAGAGTTAAGCGGCAGGAAAGGCCTCGAAGATCTTTTCCAAACCTGACTAGGGCACAAAAGGCCAGAAAGGTGGCAAAAAGGGGGAAAAAAACCCAAAAAACCCCAAAGGCTAAGTGTTTAACAATAGCGATATCTATCTTTTGTCAGTATATTAAAAAGTTGCAAATGTGAGAGTAAATTCTGTCCAATTTTATTTACAATCTCATCCTCCTTCACTTTACTTTCTGCAACAAAGTTAATTCTGCATTCAGATCCCTTGTGCTGACTTGTGCTTTAAAGAATAAGTGCTTAAGAGAATGATAAAAACGGGGGAAGAAAGGCAGCATGAAACTGGAAGGTGGCTACAGTCTATGATACAGCAACGGAGATTCCAGAGAACTTCTGACAAAAATGCGAAGGAATGTTTTTAATAAGAAAAACAGTTATGTTTTAAAGAGGAAAAGGAGGGATAATGGTGAGGGAACCCATCGAGGCCCCAAACCTTTAAAAATATTCAGGCACCTCAAGCCTGAACATCCTACATCCTGAATTGTCCTACAATCAGGCACTACGGGATTCAAATGAGTGTGCAAAGGGTAGTCGAGGAGGAGAGATTCTCAATTTTGACAAGCCCAGTAGGGTGCCGGGGCGTAAGAGGCAGGCTCCAGGCGGGACAGGCGGGCTCCACCCCGCCGGTCCCCACCCCGCCGGTCCCGAGGCGGCGGCCCAGACAGGCGGGTGTGGTTGAAAGGCTTCCAGGACTTGTGCCGACTGGCCGCACCACCCCACCCAGAGTCTCACACCACCTCCGCCAAACAAGGACTGTGCAAGCCCAAGACTGCAAAGCTCCTTCCGCCTACCAGGGTCCTTTCTAGGGCACTCTAGGTTCCTCTGAAGCCAGAAAGACTTGACTGAGCCCCAACGTAGGTGCGGAGGCCAGCGGCAGAGGCGCGCTCCGCACTCTGGGAGTGGTAGTCCTCAAAAACCTCACGCTCCGGTTGCAGCAAGTGACCTACTTCTCTGCACACTACACTTCCCTGCGTACTTTGCGAACGCTCCGCTGGCGAACCACGCATGCCCGGTAAAGGGAGCTGGCAGAGGGTCGGAGAACCGAGGAAAAGTTTCCGATGCACATGCGCGCTGTGCAGGACGGTCGTTCCCCGCCCACCGCCTAATACACTTTATATAAATTCTACCCATAAGGCCTACTCCCTGTATTGTACCACCCCACCATATCCATGTCTCGGCTTCACGAAAGGCTGAACTTCCCCCCGCCCCGTTCTCTTCACCGCCTCCCATGACTGTTGAATTAAGGATCTGCTTCTGATGAGGTTTTTTCTGGGTGAAGGCGGTGGGCTAGAATAAATAGGGTCACCCACCCCCCAACCCTGCCGCTTAATCTGTATTCCTTGGGCGGGGTGGTCTCCATCTGGAGTTGCTGTAGGGACGGTGGATTCAAAGAGAAAAGAGCCTTTTCACTTAATGCCCAGCGGGCTCGGATCCAGCACCCCCACAGGCAGGAAAGGAAAGGCAGGAATTAAATCCAGTCCTCCCGTCCTCTCGGCCAAAGAAATTCCCAGTTAAGCTGTAGGGAGGTGCCGGGCCGACAATCAGAAGGCCCCACGCCAGCAGGGCCCAAGCCTCACCCCTCTTCAGTCCAAGTCCGAGTAACCAGACCCGGCGAGGGAAATGGGAAAAAGTCCCCGGGAAGGGAAGGAAAAACTGTACATCTGACACCTGAACATCATCTAATACTTAAAATTGTTTGTGAGTCTCCTCCCACTGCAAGGCCTGCTCTATGACCAGACTTACCAGATCCTCGGCAAAGCTCCCCTAGAGGGTGGTAAACCTCCCTAATCCTTCCTCCCACACAAGCTTCTTTCCCCACTCTGCTTAAGAGGGGGATGGGGGCAGGCACCCAAGAAAGCAATAGGGGTGTTTTTATGCTGGAAAATCAAAGATGAGGGACCCACTGCCAGGGTACGGTGGGTAGGACGGAGAAAGATTAGATATGGAGCAGGCACCCGAGACCCCTCCGCTGGCCCCCCTGCTGTGTGGGGTTCTGGTTCCTCTGCGGGATGGGAAACGGCCTGCCAGCTGCCCGGCTTCTCTCTGCTCCCTCCTTTCCCTCCCATTCTGGTCAAGGGCACAGTCCATCCTCTGGACAGGAGGGGAAGGAGCTTCGAAGTAGGGTTCTTCCTCCCAGGCACCTTACCAAGATTAACCAGAAGCCACTCACTGGTATTGCTGTAAAGGTACTTTTTTTCTGCCCAGTTTTCCCTTAAAAGACGATAACGAGTTCAAGCCAAAATGGTGAATTCTGGCTCAGCGTCCAGAGGACAGTCGCCACTGACCGGTCCGAAAGAGGGGTGTCCACCCTTCCTCCCCCCAGGCTTCACAGGGCCAGAAATAAACACTATTATTTATTACCACCCCCTTCCCTGCACACGGGGAAAGAAGTAGAAAAACAAGGCCTAGATCCCTGTCCTTCATCTGATTTATTTAATGGTGGTGGGAGTTATGTTTTTTGGGGGAACAGGGAAAATCTACCGAGTCTCTAGGATATGAAGAACTGAGGGAGCCGGAGAAGGGGGAAAATGCACCCCACCCACGAGGGGGCAACACTGAAGGGGGCTCTGGGGTACCCCAGGATGAGAGCGAGCGCGAGGAGAGGAAGAGGAGCACAAGGGGAAAGCGGGGTTCTAGGGAGAAGGGGGAAGGAAAATGTTGGCCAGGAGTCGGGGAGGGGGGGGCGACAGCAACGTGGAGCGTCCAGCAAAGCGAGGAGCGGGAGGGGAGCAGAGGTGGGGGAAGGCGTCGGGCCTGTCGGGTCTCAGGGGGGCCCCCCCGCCCGCACGCCCCCCACTCACTCACTCGGGTCTCCGCGGCGGCGGGGCGGTCTGCCGGCCGCGGGGCGGCTTATGCCTCCAGGGTGGTCCCGGGCGCGGGGCGGAGATCGCTTTCCCTTCCTTCCCGGACGCCGCCGGGCCGGGGCCGATGTGTCCTTTTCTTCGTTGACGGTTGCGGGGCGAGTGAGGGGGGTATGGGCTGACTTGCAATAATAATTCTTTCAGCTTTTTGGAGGTCGGGCTTGGCGGCGGGGGGACGGAGGGCGGGCGGACCGGCCGGCGGCGATGGAGGACCGGAGGGTGGCTCGTGCTGCGGGGCGGAGGCCGGTCCCGGCTGTGGCCGGCTGGCGGTCCTGCCCCCCTGGCCCCGCGTCGTCCAAGCCACTCGCTTGTCTCCGCCGACCACCCGCACCTTCCCGCGCCCCGGCCCAAAGTGAGCAAAGTCAATGAAAAGTTTCACCCTTAGCAACCCTGCGCACGGATCCCGCTTCCCCACCCCTGCGTGATGCGTCCCTCCGCCCTGCAGGGGCGGGGCCGTGCGCCGGCCGGAACTACTTCCCAGCCGGCGGGCAGCTTAACCTCTTCGGTCGCGCGGCCTGCCGCTCCGCCTGCACCCTCACCCTCCCGTGGCGCCCCTACTCATCACTCAGATCCCAGTTCAAACGTCAGCGAGGCGGCCTCTGGCCGGCCTGTGTAACGCTGCTCGCCTCCGTCCCCATCACGGCGCCGCAACGTAGTTATTTTCTTCATGCCCTAAACCACTGTGAAATGGGGCTCATTGTGTAAGGTGTTTGCCCAGGTGGACAGCGGGTGCTGAGAGAGCAGGGCCTGCACTGGGACCAGGTTGCTCACTTTAGATGTGTTGGATGAATGGAGGTCGCGGGAGGGGACTCCCCGCCCCGTGTCTTCGGCCCTGCACCTGCCTCGGCACCGACGGTTCCTACGCTCCGCCGAACCGTCCCCTAGGCCACCTGGGCGAGTCCCCCAACTCGGCGACCGTCTGGCCGTCCCCGCGGCACTCGCACCGCCGCAGTTAGGGGCTCTTCGCGGTTGGGGAAGCTGAGGGGATGACGCGAGCTCTCGACGCGTTTCGGACCTTGATCAACTCCGGTCGGCCCAATCTTCCGAGCGCCTACGCCTCGTCGGGACGCGTAGCGTCGAAGGGAGGGCGACGGGGAAACCGGGGCCCGGGTGCGCTGAGCGGGGGGGAAGGGGAGGCAAGGAGAGGGCGGACGGCCGGGAAAGGGAGCCAAGCGCCACTTTAACCTTCCACTTGTCGCCTCCGGCGCCCGTTACCTCTCGGCGGGGAGAGAGCAAGCGCACGGTCTGCGCAGGCGCGTCAGCGCGTCCCCGGCCCGCCCCGCGCGGGGGTCGGCCCCTCTGCGGGCGGCCCTGTTCGCTCTCCCCGCCTGGCGACCCCTGTACCGGGTACTGAAGAGAGCCAATTCCTTTTAGTAACAGCCCGCGCTGGCGGGCGGTGGCGCCCACCCGTGCCACGGGCGTCGGGCTGGAGCACACGACGGTCTCTTGGGCGGCGGGCCGAGGCTCGCCGAACCCGGAATGGGGCGCGCCAGGCCCGCGCGCTCGGCCCCCTGCCCAGGCTCTGGCCACGCGGGCCCCTCGGCCACTTTGTGACTGTGCGGGGCGCGGAGTTGTGGGCAGGGAGGCCTGTGCCCGGGTCCGGAGCCTCCGGGAGATTGCGCATTGTCTTTCCCCGTCCCTCCTTTAATTGCCCCTTCCCCAGTTCTTCTCCCCCCGCCCCCCCACCTTCTTATTCCAGAAGGTTCCAGCCCAACGGTGGCCGCCGAACCCACGTGGGGTGGCGAGATCCAAAAGTTTCCAGGTAGAAACAGTTTGCATTTTTTTTTCCTTGATCACTTTTTTTGGCAAGGGCAGAGAGCAACGGTAGCGTGGGGGTTTAAACGCGCTTTCCTTGACTGCAGCAGAGAAACGGCGGACTGGAGGGCAAACTCCGCGGGGACAGGAAGGCGGGAGGGAGCCCGAGCTCGAGAGCCCCCATCCCCCACACTCTCAGCCATTCAGCCCCTGGGGCACCTCGAGGGACTACTTGCTTTGTGCGTCAGCGAGTGGCAGAGCATCACATACACGCCCCCTCCGCCTCGCCCCCCTCTCCACACCTCCCCTTCTTTTTCCTCCCTCTCGGCCTCTCTCCTCTCCCTCCCCTCCCTCCAGCCGGGCAGTGAGCCGCGGCCGACCCACTGGGTTCCAGAGCCCTGAAGAGCTAAGAATATAACCGGAATGTTAGCAACAGCCTTCTCATTGGTCGGGGAGCAGGGAGAGGCGGCATCTGATTGGCTTTTCGATCTAACCGCTAGGACTAAGGACGGGGGCCGAGAGCGAAGGAGGCGGGGCCCTAGGGGAGAGTATGCGTTTGCGCAGTGGGGCATTGCAAGGGGTGCTGGTATTTGTAGTCGTTTATTAGAGGCAGCCTTGGAAATAGGTAGGTTTGAATACCAAATCTGCCACCAATCGTGTTATCTTGACTTAATGGCAACACGTCTCTTTACATCACCAAACCTGTTTGATCGTCCTTAAAATGGATATCGTGTGGGGATTAGCTATGGTACTGTATGTAAAACCTGGTTCAAATAGTTGCTATTCTTAATTTAAAGGTAACCGTTCTGGTCAAATTGCATCCTACGTATTCTGTGCTCAGTTCGGTGTGCATTCCTCAATTAGAAACCTTACAAGACAGAATGATGAGAAAGGTGATGCTGAGTTGAAACGAATTCTCCTAGGATATCTCAGGAAGGAGGGATGGTGTCCATATAAGCAGATAAAGAGTAGAGGTCTCCTATCATTCAGTGCTGCCTGCGGGAGGGCGGACTGAATCCCGGGAAGGAAGGCGTTGAATTTCTGCGTTTGTGCCTTTTACTTGAACCTGCAGTGCTGGAAACACACCAGCCCTGAGCAACATCACTAAAATAAAAATGAGAAATCCAGCCTCCTTGGCAAATGAGAGCCCTGAGTAAAGAGTTAGCATATAAATAGGAAAAGATAAAATAGAGGGAAAAAAGGTAATCACCCTTAACTGCTCATGTCTCCATTTATCATGTGGTGAAGAGGACGTTTTCCTCTCCCCAACGTGTGATTTCATCTTGCCAGGGCTTAATTGTGAGCTGTACTCCTACTCAAGCATTCCAGAGTCCCCTCTCATTTCGAATAATCGTGCGTTGAAAGGTACACACCATGTTTTCGAAATGGTGAGCTTCAGAGGTAAGCATGTGCAGAGGGGAGAGGTGGGGGCAACTCCCCTGTCTGAGGGTAAGCAAGTTATGCCAGATGTTTTGGTGCAGTGACAAGTCAGGCTGGTCATAACTAGCCCCAATTAACTCTCAGGGTTGAGTCACTCTCTCATACACACATGCCAGGGAGAAAATTTTTGTAGTTTAAGTTATCCAAGAAAATAGTTCGTGAATTTCAATCTTCAGATCCACTCCTCCAGCTGGGCAGGGGCAAAGACAGCCACAACAGAAACGGGCTTTGGAGAATGATTGGATGCTGAGGGCACATGATTTACTGTTTATTCACCACTGACTGATGTGAGTGAATTCTAGTAAACAAGGTAAGTGAACAAACCTGTCTTTTGCTAAGACACTAAAACTTCAGTGTTGGAAGAAGGTAACATTTTAGCCTTGGTAGTGGCAGACAGACCACTTGGAGATAGAGTTGATAAGGAACTGAACAACTGGGAAAAGGTAGGAATTGGAGTCTTTTTTTTTTTAAAGTAGGAAAATTCCAACCAAGGCAAAGAATCTTTCACCTTTACATCCTAGCTTCAAACTACGAAAGAGCTACAGGTCAGAATAGAGTGACATACAATCTCTCTGAAATTTAGTCATTTCAATTTGATTCTCTGGGAAGTTAATTTTTTTAATTTAGAAGCTAATTGGCAGGCCAAGGTCCACATCTGGTGGATATATACTGGCATATACTGACACGTTATACTTTTTTTGTGTGTGTGAGGAAGATCAGCCCTGAGCTAACATCTGATGCCAATGCTCCTCTTTTTTCTGAGGAAGACTGGCCCTGAGCTAACATCTGGGCCCATCTTTCTCTACTTTATATGGGACGCCACCACAGCATGGCTCAACAAGCAGTGCGTCGGTGCACGCCCGGGATACGAACCGGCGAACCCCGGGCCGCCGCAGCGGAGCGCGCGCACTTAACCACTTGTGCCACCGGGCCGGCCCCACATTATACTTTTAAAAATGGTTGACATTTAAAAATTGGGAGATTGCACAAAAATACCTTAATTTGCCACTTGTCCTAAATTCAAAAATCTGGTAACACTGGGCATTCAAGGTGGCAATTATTTGGAGTTGAATAGCAGCTGTCTCCTTTAGACAGAGCCTGTGCTCTCTCGTTCCCCCAAGGTCCCCACCACTCCCTATTGTCTCCCAGACACTGAGGCCAAGGGTCACATACCATTTATCATCATGTTTGGGCTATTTCTACACTCCACCTTTTACAATCAATGATATTACTCACCCAGACTCCTGAGTTTGTGACCCCTTTTTCAGTTGAATGTAATAAGTAATTGTTTGAGTGTCCGGCAGTGAAGGGAGAGGCAAAAGGAGCTCAAGGATCTTATGAGGTAGTTTATTGTTTTTAAACCATGGGTCATGACCCATTAGTGGGGTCATAAAATCACTTGGTTTAATGGATTTCAGCCAGAAATTTTTTTTTTTTTTTTAAAGATTTTATTTATTCATTTTTTTCCCCCCAAAGCCCCAGTAGATAGTTGTATGTCATAGGTTCACATCCTTCTAGTTGCTGTACATGGGACTCGGCCTCGCGTTGGACGAAGAAGTGGTGCCTTGGGGCGTGCCTGGGATCCGAACCCAGGCCGCCAGCATCAGAGCACACGCCCTTAACCGCTAAGCCACGGAGCCGGCCCGCAGCCAGAAATTTTAGAAGAGCATGGAATAAAATGAAAATATTGGAGTGCAATACACCCAGTAAATGTTTCATGAAACTTTTGTTTCTGTTATACATATATATTAGTCATGAAAACAGCCCAAGTGAGAGATTGTTGTGGGGTATGGTGCATCTGGAAGCATTCCTGCAACGTTAGGAGCTTACAAGGAGAGGTACCCAGTTGGCTGGCTGATGTAAAGGTGGAAAGCTATTTCAAACAAAGGAAAGAGAGCCAAGAAGATGGGGCATGTGCAAGGAATGTCTAACTACCTGATGAAGAGCACAGAGAGGAGTAGAGGAAAACCTTGGGGGTAGGGAGAGAGGGAACCATTTGGAGGACCTTCAATGCCAGGACTTAAATGTTTATCTACGAAGAAGCAGGGACCCATTGTAAAAGAACTACCATTTATGTAAAGCCTTCCCTGTAGCGGTCAGGCACTTACAAGGTCAAATTTAATCCCTACAACCAGAAGAGGTAGGCATTATTATTCTTATGTAATAGATAAGAAA